CAGGTGTGGTGGCACACACCTCTAGTCTCAGCACTTGGGAGGAAAAGGCAGGCAGGTCTCTATGAGTTTGAGGCCAGCTTGGTCTACTTAGCAATCTCCAGGACAGAACTACATAGAGAGACCTTCTCTCAAAGCCACAAAATCAAACAAAATATCCTCAGGGGTTGAGAATGTGAGACAGTCTCTTGGTGTTGGTCCAGTGGCCTAGGTTGTTACTCTGTGCCCCAGAGGGACAAGAAAGAGGTGATCCTTGTGTACAAGTTGTAATTTTTTTTTTAACTCTTTGGGGTCCCACCACCCAGCTCCCAAATAAATCACACACAGGCTTATTCTTTCTTAGAAATGCTTGGCCTTAATTTGGCTTATTTCTAGTCAGCTTTTCTTAAATTAACCCATCTACCTTTTGCCTCTGAGCTTTTATCCTTCTCTATTTCTGTATACCTTTCTTACTTCTTTCTCTGTGGCTGTGTGGCTGTGTAGCTGAGTGGCTGGTCCCCTGAGTCCTCCTCGCCTCCATTTCTAATTTCTTCATTCCCTCTTCCCAGATTTCTCCTCCTGTTTATTCTGTTTGCCAGCCCCGCCTATCCTTTCTCTTGCCTCGCTATTGGCTGTTCAGCTCTTCATTAGACCAAGCAGGTGTTTTAGACAGGCAAAGTAACACAGCTTCACAGGGTTAAACAAATGCAACATGAAAGAATGCAACACATCTTTGCATCATTAAAGATGTTCCACAGCATAAACTAATGTAGCACATCTCCAACTAATATTCTACAACAATTGGCTCTCAGCCTGATCATAGCCAGGCACAGGAGCAGAAAAGCTATAGTTTGAAGAGGGACCTGCTCTCAGAGATGCTGAGTACATACCAGATACAGGTCCAACAGAAGGCTGATGCTGGGTATTGTATAATGAACTTAGTTCTGGAGGTTGGGAGGTCTCATTTCAAGATGGCAAAAAAAAAAAAAAAAAAAAAAAGCCAGGTGTGATGTTGCATACCTGTCATCCCAGCATTTGGGAAGTGGGGGCAGGAGGATCAGAAGTTTGAGATCATCTGTAGTTACATAGTGAGTTTGAAGCTATTCTGGTATATATGAGACTCTTTTTTTAAAGACAGGGTCTCACTATATAGACCAGGCTGACCTTGAACTTGCAGTGGTCCCACTCATCTGCCTCCCCTAGTGGTGGGATTAAAGGCATGCATGCCACCTTGCCCAGCGAGACTGCCTTAAACAAAGCAAAATAAAAAATACAAAAACAAAATGCCTAAAGCGGGGTGTACCTGTTACCCCACCTACTTGGAAGTCTGGACAGGTGGACCATTTGAGCCTTACTCGGGGCCAGCCTAGCTAACATATCATTTCCTGTCTCAACAATAAATAACTGGGTGGGCTGCAGGATTGATTCAGTGGTTAAGGGGACTTGTTGCTCTTGGAGAGAATTGGGATTCGATTCCCAGCATCCACGTGGCAGCTCACAACTCTCTGTTCCAGGGAGGTTGATGCCCTCTTCTGACTTCCTTAGGCACCAGGTGCACATACAGCCATGCAGGCAAAAGACTCACACATAAAATAACAAATATAAAAAAATCACCACCACAAATACAATAAAGTAATAATAATAATAATAACTGAATGTGATGAGGCATAGTTATAATTCCAGCACTTTAGAGGCTGAGACAAGAAGATTGTAGTGAGTTCAAGGCCATTTTAGGCCACATAGCAAGACTGACTCAAAAGGGGTCTGAAGAGATGGCTCAGCTGTTAAGAGCACTGGCTGCTCTTTTAGAGGAACCAAGTTAGGTTCCCAACACCCACATGACCACTCATAACTGGAGCTCCAGGTCCAGGGGACCTGGCACCCTCTTCTGACCTCCTTAGGCACCAGGCATGCATGTGGTACACTCATGTGCATGTAGGCAAAACACCCATAATTTTCAATAAAATTAAAAAACAAAAACAAAATTGTCTCAAAAGAAGCAACAAACACAAACAGATACCAGCATACATCTGTCACTCCAGCTGGAGGCTGGAGCATCAGAAGTTCAAGGCCATCCTGGATTGTATGAGATCCACCTATTCTCAGAACAAACAACAAACCAGCATGCATTTGGTGGCGAAGACCTTCTTGCTGAATCCACATACGCCCCCTTTCTAGAAAGCAAGAGGAAGAAAAGGGTGTGAGGGAGACAAACAAAACACCCTTTTGCAATCTCACCTATTGACTTGGAGTCCTTGTGGCCTAGTCACTTATCAAAGATGCTCAGACCTCTTTGCATGGTTACAATCGTAATTAGACTTCAATGTATTTTTTTTTTCAGCAGGAACAAACAACTGCGATTAGATTTCAATGTAACTTTCAGCAGGGACAAATGTCCATCTGAAGCACAGGGAGTTCGGGAAAGCTTGGGAACTGTCTTGCAGGATGCCTTGGAATTTTGCAAAGGAGAAATGGAAAAGGAGGCCACTCCCTCAGGCCAAGGGACCAGCGTGGGCAGAGGCTTGCAAGGATGACTGTGTTGGGAATGACTGGAAAAGCAAGCTATAGCAAGATGACAGATCAAGACAGGGTTGGATGACTTGGCCAAAAGGGATCCATGGGCTAACCCAGAGATTCCAGTGTTTTATTTAAGTTTTTCAATGATCCTTTGGCCAAAGGAATAGACACAGAGTGGAGGGGTGGTGGGAGGGTGAGGAGCTGCTAATATGGTCCAGGTAAGAGGTAATGGTGTTGATTTTGAGGGGTAGTTAGGAAACATAATACTGTAGGCTGGATTTGGGGAGTGATGGAAAGAGCAAACTTGAAGATATTACACAGATTTTTCTGTTAATGAGCAAGGAATGCCCCGAGTGAACACGGCAGGAAGATTCATGAATCCAGGGAGTACTTAACATGTCAAGAAGCACTACCAACACTTATCTGGAGATGCCAAGAACTATGGTGCTTTCTGCACACTGAGATGGTTTAAAACAGCAACCCCAGAGGATGTCTTAAAGTTTTCTTTTAATTGCTTTTATTTATGTGAGTGTGTGAGGGGGAGTCACATGCCACATTCCACAACTCTGTGGGGAGGGCAGAGGACGACTTTCAGGAGTTGATCTTCTCCTTCTGCCACGTGGCTCCTGAGGATTAAACTCAGGCCATCAGCTTAGTGGCAAATACCTTTATCTGCTGAGCCATCTGGCCAGCCCAAGGGTATCTTCTTAGTGTCTTTTAAAAAAAAATACAAATTGGGCTATAGAGGTGTCTCAGTGGTTAGAGAACATAGCACTTTAGCAGATGATCCAAGTTGGGTTCCCAGCACCCATGTCTGACAGCTCACAACCTCCTGTATCCTCAGCTCCAGGGGGATGATACCCTCTTCTGACCTCTACAGGTGCCTGTGCTCATGTGCACGTCCCACCCCCCCCATATACACACACACAATTAAAATCCTTTTTTAAAGATTGTATCTTTTTTTCAGATTAGCAGGCCACAGAGTCAGGATTTAAATCCCCGACTAATTTCAAAGTTAGGGATTGTTTTTTAATTTTTATTTTTTAGACAGCGTCTCAGCATGTAGTTCTGGGTGATCTGGAAGTACTAAGTAGACCAGGCTGGCTTCAAACTCACAGAGATCCACCTGCTTCTGCCTCTGGAGTGCTAGAACTAAAGGCGTGCACGACTATGCCCAGCTTCCCCCTACCCCTGTTGACATAGACTCTTGGTATATAGCCAAGGTTGACCTTGAGCCTCGTGACCTCCCAAGTGCTGTGATTTCATCTGAAGTTGGGGCTCTGTGCTTCCTCAGGTCTGCTGGAGGGAGCTTCTATTCATTGTTACGATACAGCTTGAGGCTCTGTCCTTCCAGGGAGTGCCCACTGACTTCTTTGCAGGGCTGATGGTGCCCTCTGTCATGGCATTTCTTAGATTGCTGACATTTTTGTGGGCTTACCTGCTTCCTCTTCAGGCAGAAAACTCTCCCCAGGGCAGTCTATTTTATATCTCCAGTGTCTAGCATGTAGAATGGCCGACTAAACACCAGCCTGCGTGCTAGACAATTCTGACCTCGTCTCTTCTCTTCCTTTTCAGTGCACAAGTAATCAAGTTCTGCTAATTACCGTTGCTAATTTCTGGCAGCTTCTTTCTCCCCATCTTCACTGTCAAGACTTAGCTTTGGGCTCTTTGATCTAAAATGGGAAGGACCTGTAAGGACAGTGCAGTGTAGAAACTTCCTACGAAAGCACCCATGACCTTGAAAAATGACTCACAGCTGACTTGTTAAGGGAAAGTGAGTAGACCATTCCAGATAGATGAAAGAACATGGAAAGGCACAGGCTCAGAAACATGATTTTTTAAAGCATGTATTACTAATAAGGAGACTTGTCAGGTTGAGATCGGTGCCGGGAGGTTGGGAAGGCAAGACCATGTTGCGGCACTAAAGAGCGTGGGCATGAGGCTTTTCCTGTATGTGATAAATTATATGTCTGTTCAGGGAGAGTGGAAACATGGAGGAGAGCGGATGCTTGTATCAGAGGGTCTTCTACAAATGCTTCACTATCTTTCAGCTATTTGTAGACACACCATAGCTACCATCTCTTTCCCTGATTTCGGTGTGCCTGGCACAGTACTTTACATACGTGATATTATCTAACCCTCACAACATCCTTGTGAATATGGGTGGTATTAACGCTATGCAGAAGAAATGAGGCTCAGATTAATTAATAACGTTCCTAAAGACACACAGCCTGAAAGCACAGACCGGAAGAGGTTTTAAAGCACTAGATTATCCTTTCTGGAGGTCAGGGCTTGGGTTTTCTGTTTCGACCTAGGTCTCAGAAGATGCCTAATGAACTTCAGTTCGATCAATGAATGCGTGACTTTTCACTTTTCTCCGCTAGAAAAGCACGAGGCAACGTCGCTTTGGGGAGCCTCCAAGCCGCCAGGGGGCGCGACATTCACCTCCGTTCATCCCAAGAGAGAGGCGGATGCCTGGCTTCCTTCCTCTTGTCGCTTGACCGGAGCTCAGCCAATCGCCGCTCTCCGGGAGCGCCCGGACGCCAGTGGGCGGGGCCTCGGGCGACGCCCCACGGGCCCCTGGGAGCAGTAGCGGGCGCAGCGCGGGGCCGGTCCGGGGCGTGCCGGCTGGGCCGCAGGTGAGTTCCTAGGGCCGAGGGAGCTTCTCTTCCCTGGATCGCCCGCCACGACTCGCACGGGGACGGCTCCTGGCCATGTCCCCCTAGTCGAGGGAGGCATAGTCTCCGTGGCCGTCCCGGCTCCGGCCAGCTCTAGTGTGGGCTGCAGTCAGAACTTGTCCGCCTCCGGCACCTGCAGGCCAGAGGGTGACGAGGCCACGCGTGTGGTGTAACGGGACAGGGGACTGGGAGCTGATGACCCTGACCTCTGGCGCTCTCATCCCCAGACCTGACTGGGGGTAGCTGTCAAGGCTGGTTCTTCCACCTTCTTGGAACCTCTTCTGACTGTTCTCGAATCTGGAGTGTAGTTTCCGGTGGGACCAGCACAAGGACAGTTTCCGGGCGGCCCAGTTGACCTGTACCTGGACTCTTTGGCAGGCTCCCCTGCATGCTGGGCTGGAAATAGGCGTCAGCATTTGCGAGACGCTCCTGCTACTTACGTTTTGATCCCCTAGGGATGACTTCACGAAGTGTAGCTGCTTGTGATGGTATTCCTGCTCCTTTGTGATTGTGGCTGGAAGACTGCTTTAAGTCTTACGTTAGCGACTTGTTTATGCTGCCTGTGGTTCAGTCGATCAACAACTTTCTTTGGGGCTCTTTGCCAGGCAGGTTAGCAGGGGTGGGTGGGAAGAGACATAGCGCATAGGACGATGCGGACATCCTTGGTCCTTAACCTCCTGGAGCTTCAAGGTGTTTTGAGAGATGTAGACAAGTAGGGTAAGCTCACACAATGCCTATCACAGAGAAAATGGTTGTGCTGGATACGTGGATGACTGGGATACAAACAGGGCCATATAGAACTTGTGCTTTATATGTAGGAGAATAATAGTTGTAGACTGGTACTTAAGACAAATTGGAACATTGAATGGAGAGTCGCTATTTAGGAATACTATGAAGAACTTGCACCTGTAGTCATAAGCACTTGGGAAGTGGAAACAGGAGGATCAGCAGTTAGAAGTCATCCTCAACTACACTGAGGGTTTGAGACCAGGCTGGGTGACATGAGAACCTGTCTTAAAAATAAAAACTTAAAAAGGCAGAAAATAGAATGTAGAAGTATTGGATTTGGTGTTCTTTGGGGGCTTCCCTCTTTCTTAATGTGTACAGTGTAGGATTTTGAAAATCTCTTAGTATAACCTTAGAACGCACAAGAAAGGAAGTATTTCAATGTAATGAAAAGCTAAGCTAAGGAGGAGCTGCAGGAAGCACTGCCTACATCTGTGGTTTGAACAGACACCATACACACACATCTGCCCAGGCTTGGCCTCAAAACCAGTGGGCCTGCCGCTTGTAGTGATTTTGGCAAGCTAGCATAGTGTCTTTGAGCCACTGTGGCCTTAGCCAGGAATCTGGGCAAGTAATTCCTACATCATAGAGGTATTGTGAAGGCTAGGTGATGACCAGGGGGCTACTGTGGAGTACAGGGCATGGTGTCAGGTCGAAGGACCAGGAAGAGAAGCCTGAGTCTGCTGCAGTTCGGTCCACGTGTAGTCTCAGGCCCTCAAGACGCTCCAGTCTCTCCAAAGAGAATCAGAACCAAAGGGAGACAGGGAGAGCCATGGAATCCTCCATGAGGTTTGGATGTCTCACCCAAGAGCAGAGAGACAGCAGTGTTGGAGAAGGAAGCACAAGTGTCGTAATGCTGGTGACTAAGGAGTGACTTTGAGGATGAGAGATCATCCGATGTGTGAAGTGCTTAGCTCAAGGCCCAGCTTGGAATTAGTGCTCAGTCGATGGTGGCTAGCATCATTAGCTCATTGCCAATGGCCTTTTATGATTGTAACAGTAATTAAATAATGGTATAAATAGTCATTTAATAGTGGTAATCATTTGTGACTAAGTGGCTATTTGAATGAGTGGGTTTGTATATTACTTTGGCATTTCATTGCAGAAGGCCCTGGGGGCAGCTCCACAATTTTTGTTATTTTTATTTTACAGTGTTTTCCACAGGGACTTTTCAAGTGTTAGGATTCTAGGGCATCTGGAATACTGTATTCACTTGCGATATTTTCAGGAGCTTTCTGTGCAAGTGTGAGGATGTGAGTGTGCTTGACAATAGTGTATTTTAAGGGTGTTTTGACCAGGATTTGTTAACTACAGGTTACTGTCATTGTTAGAAAAGCCAAGTCCAGAATAGGCTTAAAACCCTTATCTATCTTTAGTCCAGGGTAGTTAGGTAATGGATCATAGTTTTGAGCTGTTTACATAAGTCCCTTGTACTTTACCCAAAGAAAAGGAACTGCTCATTATCAAAGAGTCAGAATTCAGAGTGTGTGTGCATATGAAGTTTCACAGAGCAGAGAAAAGACTTCTTTTCCCTTCCTGAAATGTTGAAAGACTGAAGGAGGGGATCTGAGGTCACACCAGGTTTGAAGCTCCATTAGGTGACACTCAGAGGTTCCTCGTGGGGAACTCCTGCATACAAGAGTGCAGCATAGTTCGTGGAGGTTTTACCTCCTTCCTTCACCGTCCAATCTTTCACAACTTCTTAGAGTATTTCAGGACCCAGCTGTTGCACAAAGCACAGCGGCTGCTTGCTGCTCTGTGGGGTGGCTGTTCAATGATTAGTGCCAGGCTGTGAGGTAAGTAGAGCGCCCAATGGGCCGTCTACCCCTGCTGGGGCGGGGGATGCTCGTTTCTCCCTAGTGCTCTCTTCTCCTCTGCAGATGTCATGTGGCCTGTGCTTTGGACCGTGGTGCGGACCTATGCTCCCTATGTCACCTTTCCTGTGGCCTTCGTGGTCGGGGCTGTGGGCTACCACCTGGAATGGTTCATCAGGGGAAAGGACCCTCAGCCCGTGGAGGAGGAAAAGAGCATCTTGGAACGTCGAGAGGACCGAAAGCTAGATGAGCTGCTAGGCAAGGACCACACTCAGGTGGTGAGCCTTAAGGACAAACTGGAATTTGCCCCCAAAGCAGTCCTGAACAGAAACCGTCCAGAGAAGAATTAATGGAGGGCCCAGGTCCCTGTGGTCCACAGGGCTGTGATGTGCCCTGCCGCCATGTCAACCCAGCTTCAGAACATACATCTGATTTGCTTTGCTGCTCACTCCGGCCCCTTCTGCACCCCACAGCCACACACACACTGGTTGGCCCTTTATGGCTGTGCAGCTGCAGCAGTAGGGGCCGACCAAGAGGAAGACTGCGAAGAGGAAGACTGCGTCTGCTGAATGGGCTGTCTGACAACAGTGCAGGCTTCTGATTTTACCTGGGAGCTCCAGCTCAGGGGGATGAACACTGCTCTCGGGCTCCCTGGGGAGGGGCGTGGCCTCAACTGGGAATGGTTGGGGTTTGTTGTTGCCATTAGGAGGGACAACCTCCATGTCTAGTTCTAGTTTTTGCACTGGAAAGAATCAGAAATCTCCCTGGCTCCCTTGATGGGTTTTTCCTATTCTCTGGCACATGTGTCCCTTTATCGGCTCAGGAGTAGATTCTCAGGGGAAGGAAAGCATGTTTCTGCTGTGGGGAGCTCAGGCTGTTTACCTTGGGGCAGAAGGGGTGTACACCTGGAGATAATCACTGTCTTCCACCCTTCCTCACTGTGTAGTGAGAACCTCAATTAAAGTGGCGCCTGAGACACATTGATGGAGTTCTGTCTTCTGGATGGGGTCTGGGTTCTCTTAGAATTCCTGCAGGCATTGTGGGTATGACATCAGTAGTGTCTGTGGACTTCCAAGACTAAGCACAGCTGGAAGCTATGTGTTACTGAGTGCTAGCTGAGACTCCTGGAGGCACAAGTTCCCAAGAGTCTTTTGATCATGGTTGCAGGAGGCTGCAGCGTCTCCAGAGTCTGAATTGGTAGCACACGCACTCAGAGATATTTGCACATTAAAGAGATTGGGCAGGAATGAGAAAAGGTCGCCACACATTCCCAGGGCTCCAGTGCAGATGCTGGCCACACTTTGTTGCCTCCACTGCCGTCTGTGTGGGTTTTTAAAATTTGCTTTGTTTTGAAACAGGGTCATTATGTAAGCATGGCTAGCCTAGAACTCATTCCGGAGATCAGGATAGCCTCAAACTCACAGAAATCTGCTTGCCTGTGCCTCTCAAGAGCTGGGATGGAAGGCGTGTGCCACCCCACCTAGCTTTCTGTGTAAGTCTTAAAGAGTTCATGGCTATACTTCTTATTTTTACAGATTGTTATTTTTCATCTTACCATGTGGTGGTTGGCATTGTTTGGGAGAGTGGAGGTTGCTGAGATGGAACTCGGAGCCTCACACATGCTAGACAATCACTGAGCTACATTCTCGGCCCTCCTTTTTTCAATTTTTTATATGAGACAGCCCTATTAGCTTGCCAGAATGTTCTTGACTTCTTAGCCCTCCTGCCTTGCCTCAGCCCCATGAGTAGCTGGGATTATAGGCTTGCACTACTAAGATGGACTTCATCATTGCTTGCTTGCTTTTTTCTAATAGTTTTTTTTTTAATTATTTTGTCAAGCAGTGGTGGCATACGCCTTTAATCCTGATACTCAGGGAGGCAGAAGCAGGCAGATCTCTGTGAGTTCAAGGCCAGCCTGGTCTGCAGATTGAGTTCCAGGACAGCCAGTGCTATACAGAGAAACCTTGTCTTGAAAAACAGAATTATTTGATCATTTTATTATGTGTGTGGGTGTTTTGGCTGTGTGTAAATCTACACCATGTGCAAGCCTGGTGTCCCATAGAGGCCAGAAGAAAGTGTCAGACCCCTTGAAACTGGAGTTGTGGATGGATGTGAGCTGCTGTGTAGGTGCTGGGACTCAAACTCGGGTCCTCTGGAAGAGTAGCTGGTGCTCTTAACCACTGAGCCCTCTTTCCAGCCCGTGTTTCTAAACTTTGTGTGTATATGTGTGTGTGTGTGTGTGTGTGTGTGTGTGTGTGTGTGTGCACATCACAGTGCACCTGTGGAGTTTGGAAGACAACTTTTGGGAATTGGTTCTCTCCTACCATGTGGGCCCCGGGGACTAAATGCAGGTCATTAAGGTTGGCAAGTAGGTACCTGTACATGCTGTCCCATTTTTTTTCAAGCCCTTATCATTGTTTTTGTTTGTTTGTCTTAATATTTGCTTGTGTGTGTGCATATAATGTGCTGGTGCCCACTGAAGCCAGAAGAGGGTTCCAGGCCCCCTGGGGCAAGAGTCACAGATGATTGTGAGCCATCTGATTCTGGGTGCTGAGAACCGAACTCAGGTTCTCTGGAAGACATGGCGCTTAACCACTGAGCCATCTCTCCAGTCCCCTTCATCACTGTTTTTAGTAGCTGTGCAGTTATGGACCCATCAAGTGAAGCTAGAGCAAAAGCTGATTCTAAAGTTCCCCTATTGCTGGATATGGGTATTGTTCTTGTTCACGAGTTTAAATCCTGCAGTGACTGTCTAAGGTTTCCCCTGCATTTTGGAGTCAATGGTAGGAACATTCAACTTGGTTGAAGTGGGTCTCCATGCATAATACATCTTTCCAAAAGGACTGTAGTGTATGTTACCACTCAGGATATTACTGGGAGGATGTAGAGAGTGAGAGCAGAGGGCTGGAAGAAGCAGGTGGTTAACCCAAGTGAGCAAAGAAAGCATAGTGAGCATTGATTTGATTAAGCATGAATCTGTCGCTAAATGAGGAAGGTGCCTCAGCTGCCTATCTTAGGAGCCAGAGGTCTGTTGGATGGTATCAGGTGGAGAAACCAGTATGGAGTGGGTATCCTGGGAAGAGGGACAAGTGGTGGCCTGGAAGAGAGCAAATGCAGTCAGTAGCTCCCCTCTGTGCCTAAGAGGATTGAGTTGTGGCTCGAACATGTCTGATAGGGAGTTTTGGGAGCAATTGTGTACCACCCAAGGAAGGATGAAAAGATTGGTTCTGAAAGCATCAGCTAAGCTCAGCTTTGGCCAGCTCTGGCTAGGCCAGTGATGTGCCTCATTAATAGCTTGGTGCTGCCACTCTGTGGCTGTTCTGAGTATTGCCTGGTCTGTGACTGCCCGGCTGGGCAAAACTTGAGTCAATGTTGATGCCTGCAGGGGGCAGTCAAGTGACAAATGAGTGACTGGGCTGGCCAGGCTGGAGACTGGAAACCACAGGTTTGTCAGTAGGGGGCAGTAAAGATCTAGCTTTCCACATGTGCTCACGCACGGGCACCAGGTTTTCTATATCTCCTCCCCAGAAGATGCTAGAAATTGAATGGAGTTTTCCTTATTATTTCTGTCTGTAGAACCTATTTTATAAATAATGACAACTCATTAAAGAAAATATGGGGCTGGACATTCAGTTCAGTTGGTAGAGTGCCTGAGTACCCATGTATGAAGTCCTGGGTTCTGTCTTTGGCACCATATAAACAGGGCAATGGTGGGGGATAGGCCTGTGGTCCCAGCACTTGGGAAGTAGAGGCAGACAGATCAGAAGTCCGGGGTCAGGCTAGTGAGATGCTCAGTGGGTAAAGGCTCTCGAGGTGCAATTTGGTGACCAGGATTCAATGCCAGGAACACCCACAACGGTGGACAGGAAGAACCAACTCCACAAACTTGTTCTCTGACATCCCCTATGTCGTGCTGTGGCATGTACTCACAATGCACGCACACGCGCACGCGCACACACACACACGCACACACACACACACACACACACAAATAGTAAAAAAAATATTTAAAAGTCCAAGGCTTGTCTACACAGCAAGTTCAAGGCCTGGAATACATGAGATGCTGTTTCACAGCAACAAAAATAACCAAAAATTAAAAGTGAGGGCCAGCAAAATGGCTCAGTGGGAGAAGGAACTTGCCACCAAGCCTGATGACCTGGGCCTGATTTTTGAAGCCCATGTGTTAGAAGGAAGGGGACCAGCTTCCACAAGTTGTCCTCTGGTTTCCACATGCGGAATGTGGCAAGTGTGTATACACACACAATAAAAAGTATAATTAAAATATTAACAAAAACCAAGCTTGCCAATTCGTGACCTCTCAAAATGCTCTCCTTGGGGTGGGGGTGTGGTTCATGTGGTCCAGAAGGTGCCAAAGCTAACACGACACGGAAGAAAGTTGCCTCCCCTAAGATCTAAGGGGCATGCATTTTTACTATCCCCAGAATTGGATTCCTGTGAAAACACGTTTGGAGCCAGGTGGGGCAGAGAAGCTGAGGCAGGAGGATGGAAAGCCTTGGCCACATAACTAGTTTGAGTCTAGCCTGATTACATGTGAGACCTGTGTCAAAAATCAAAGCAAATCACCATCCCACAAAGAAAAAAAAAAACCACCAAGTGCCTGAGTGTGTACAGTTCAGTACAGCCTGGGTAAAACACTGAAGGGTGGAAAGAAAGCCACAAACAACAAAAAGGTTTTCCCATAGATGGTTCTAGATTTTTCAGGTATTTTAGAATAACCCTGTCCCCATGGGTACACCTCCTACCCATGCCTGGCCGAGGAAGACCTATCTTTGGAAATCCAAGTGTTCCCTTCTTCCAGCTTTACTTTGTGCCTACTTTTAAATAATTTCATTTCCTGGGGCGTGTCCTTGCTGAATTTCTGTCTCCAGTGAGTCTATTAATATTCTCAGCTAGACCTTCCTTTCCCACGGGCTGGCTGAGGTCTCTGACCGCTGTAATGGTGGAAAGACGGTACCTGCCCTCTTGCCTCTGTGCAGGTGACGGTTTTAAGTAGCAGGGCTTCTCTGCATGCAGCCAAATACAGGTCAGGGTTGCTGGGATGAGCAAGGCATGGGCCAGCTTTCTTGGTGAATCATGTTTGCTGATTCACCTTGGAGACATGTGAATCGTGTCTTTTGATTGGCCCAACAGTCAGGGTTCATTGAGATACGTTACAAATGGTGGTTCTTGGAACTCTTGGCTCACCACCCTTCCCTGGGTCTTTCCCCAGCCCTGTGATGACTTTGGAGCAGGGTGATTCCTGTCTGAGTGTAGCAGGACTGACTTCTGTCCCCTCAGGGGCTCGCCGGTGCTTTTCCACTCTCTGAACTCTTTCCTGAGTGTGTTGGCCGTGTTAGCACGAGTCGGCTGGGCAGCTGCCAGGACAAGCCTGCCAGGAAAACGTTTGACTTTGTCAGTTTCTCGGGGGACCCTGGGTTGACGAGACTGTTAGTGGACTGAGATGGGGGGAATTAGCATCACAGTGTCTGGTTTGGGAACCGGGCCGTCAGAGTGAAAAGGCTCGCAGTGTGTGTGCGTATACATGTGTGTACGGGTGCATGTGCACCTGCTTCCGTGTGTGGAGGCCAGAGGTCAACATCAGATAGCTTCCTCATTCACTCTCCACTTTATCTTTATGAGGTGGGGTTTCACAAGGAACCCAGGGCTGGACAGTTGAGCTAGACTTGCGGGCTGCAAGCCCCAGGGTTTACTTGACCTCTCCATCTCCTCAGCCCCAGTGGCCCTGTCTTGATTCATTCTCTCACTCTGGAGTGGTCCCTTAGTGCTCACTGAGTGCTCAGCTAGGTAGTGTAGCAGAGGGAAAATCAAGGGCCATCTGCAGACTTGGGCTTCGTCTTCTGCCTGAGCAACTACCTGAATGACCAAGTCACTGAGCCTTTCTGAACCTTGGTGTCTTTGCCTTTTAAAGGGGGAAGAGTTTTTGATAAGTAACATTAAATTTTCAGCATCTGAGCCAGTG